AAGTTTGGAGTGCAAACAGCTCATGAACACAGCAGAATGAAGCATAAAGGGTTACTCATTTAGCCACTTCCCCTTCCAGCAATCTCTTCTAATGACTATTCTGCCATGCTATTTAAGCAGGCATGAGGGAAACTAGTTCTGCAACTGCCTTTTTGCAACCTAGTTTACAGACTATGCCCCAGAAGCATCAATACACTTAGGTACTCATTCAGTTACTTAGTAGGGTGCAAAAAGGAAGGGCATTAATGGAAGCAGGACAGGTCTGTTCAGACATCCTTGGTATCTCACCTAGAACACCCATGTGGCAAAGAGGTCAGCTTCCATCTTCCTGAATCAATCAAAAATACTTTGTGCTTTACTCTAAAGTATTTGGTTTAGACTGTTTTTGCTAATTTTGTTATCCTTCCTTTTAAGTCAGGGGAAAAAATATTTCGGCTAGAAAGCATCACTCACTATGATTACAGAACTGAAATTATCAAAAGCTCTTCTTGTGATAGTGCTAAATAATGAACAAAGGAGCAAAATCACCATGACTCCCTTTCCCTTTAATCCTTCCCTATTCCAAATGTGATTCACTGATAGACAGTAAAAGCATATAGGTTTTGCATTATATGTAAAGAGATCTGAGGGAAAAAAAATATAACTTATTGCATAAAAGAAAGCCAACAGCCCTGTAAATTACCTCCTCCCCAGAAAAAAACCAAGTACAACTTAGCCAAGCTATCTCATTGGAAGGTTAGAGGATTTCCTTGCTTATCATCAGGCTCTTTGAAAAGCATGGAGAGTAGAAGCACATGAAGATAAATGCACAAGAGGAAAGACAAATTTGGGCTGCGTTTTTTCTTTACAATCAAATGGAAAACTTGTTTTTAAACTAGATGGCTATTACAACCAAGACTTTATAAACAAATGAATAAATAACCCCTCCAAAAAGCCAATCAATAGTCAGCAGATTAACTTAACAACTGTTTCAACAAACAACAACAACAGAAGAGCTGTTTGAAAAGGTGTTTTATACTCTGCTTGCACTAGTCATTGCTGCAGGTCATTGATCTTTTACAGACAAACAGCCTCCATTAAAACTTACTTGGTTTAGCCTGTCAATTTCTCCTGGAAAGCTTGACCCTCAGGGTTACTCATCTGCATGAGGCACTGAGTAAGAAGCAGTGTTTTCTATGATCTAGTTTGACATACGTATACCACTACCATTAGCTAGACTGCCAATGCCTCTTTTTATGCATTCTCTCTGTGCAGAAAAGAAAATGTAACTGTTTGACTAGATAGAGAAGAACACGAATAAGTTAAAGAATCTGTAAAGTTTAGGACAACAGTTTAAATACAGGTCACATCTCAGATAGGTTGGAGTGCCTAACTGCCATGTTTTCATCTTGTGTCCATGTTTAGAACAGTAACAGGATGGAGTTCACCTCAGATGTAAGACACTTCAGTAATATTGTGGGTTAACTTGTAATTCTGCTACCTTACATGCTCAAAGTTACGCATTTGAACAGTCATTCCTAAATTAACTGCAGTATACCAATCCTGACTAGAGTAATATGTAAATTCTGAAAACAGACTGAAAGCCCACATTTATTGAATGTGATGCTAAACTGATTAAAACATTTCCAAAGATTGAAGAATGAGGAACAACTTCAAAAAAGAACAGATCTTAAATGGTAAGGAGAATGGAACCAGCATATCCCCAATAATACCATCAGTTCTATTTCTGCCTTTCTTTACAGGTGTTAGTACCAGCCCATGCACAGGGCACACCCTTAAATTCACTTTTGTACAACAGACCTTCTCAAATAAATTTGAGGACTGGGGGTGTCTGGGTTTTTTCCTATATTTGGGTTCTTTTTAAGCATTGGTACAATTTTTCAATATGGAACGAAGCACATGAAAAGTTAATTTATGCCCCCATAGATTCCATTAGTTTCTTATTCTGAGGAATCTTGATTTCTACAGCATAAAGAACAACTAAAACAGAGCTACAAAACAGCTAAAATTAAAGGCTTTATCATCATTTCCACTAGGACTTCAGGTCCTCATTCACTTGTTAAACAATACTGGTGAATGTATAAATATGTTTATAGGTGTATAACATGCATCTCTGACACCTGTGCTTCCCCTTCATCTTTTAGAAACAGCAGTTCCTAGCCTCTGAGTTATGAAAATTAACAGTCTAGTCCTGGGACAAAAATTAAAAGCAAACACATACTGGTTTTCTAAGATTTCTTGAGTATTGGTAAGACTAAACATCTTTGCAAAGTTTACCCTAGCAAATAATTTAAAAAACTCAAACATGAATCACACTTACTAACAATTAATTTGGGATAACCTAAGGAGATCATCAAGAATAATTGAAGAAAACACCATAGATCTCATCTATCTCAGAGGCACTGAAATATTCTGCATCAAACACATGAAAATGCAAATTTTCCAATGTGGACACTCAAGTTTATTAACAGAAATGGAAAGGGGAAATAGATAGAATAAGGGATTCTTTTACTACTGTTTCCATTGTGCAAAACTAGACCTGTTCTATTTACTTCAATACTACATATTTACATCAGTGGGAGACCACAAGTTGCTAAGAAGGTAGAAATAGCCATCTACTAAATTAATAGAATTAGACCACTGTGGACAAAACAAACAAACAAACAAAAAAATTCTACCAGAGAGCCTAATGCATTTCTAAATTAAAGGCTTCAGGTTACACAGAAGGTATCTCCCCCTGACATTGTTTGCACTAAAATCCAGTCTAAAGAGTATTTACTTCAATTAACATACCGGTCCCTCTACTTCCATTAGACTTGTGTACAACAGCAACCATATCTAAGAGCTAGGAACAGAAACTAAGCCTTCTCCCTCTCCACAACCCACAACACTTGGTAACTGTATCAGGGAATCAGGAGTAGAACTCTGTTTTCAATATCCTGATACATGACAAAGACAAAAATACGTAAAACAAAACCAGAACAAAACCCAACAAATGTTATACGCACTTTTTGAAGATCCTGGTTGAAGTCCTGTTGTCTTCCAGGAGGAGTCCACATGACTTACCTTTTCAGATAATTTTGAAACCCACATCCTCCTGTGAGCATTTCTAAATTACCAGCCAGGCCTGACACTGAGAGACTGGCTACTGCGCTGCCCACATCACCTGCACTCATATCAAACTCCCCTCTCTACTCTGCGTGGTTTCCGGCTGACAACTCCAAAAAACAGCAAGAAATGCCCAGTTATAGACACAGGAACTTGGTTTCCTGACACTTCAGAGCCTTCTCTAAGTCATTAGCAACAGCTTAACAAGGGCACTGTGACATTCTGGAGCTGTGAAGCCAAACATTAGAAACAAACCTATATCAATAATATCAAAGATTTCCTGGACATGTATTTAAATGCAGCCCAACAGGTTTAAAGTAGTGCTTCTTTCACACAACAGGTTTGTGTGCTATGCTTAGCAAGTCTAAATTGAATGACTGAACAAGTTGTTTGAGAATGGGAAAGTGGGTGTCCAATTGACAAAAGCAAACCAAAGCAAAACTGCAGAAAATTGGCACTAGATCTCATGACTCCAATATGAAACATTTTTTCTGGACCCAAAGAAGTCATTCTGAGTTCCAAAACATCCCAAAACACCAGGCATGGCATTACAGTCTATAAATCTGTGTCAGTAGTAATATTTTCATACAGCCACTGTCAAAATATGAATGTTGATAGGCCTTTCCAAATATCTGCTTGGGAGAACTGTGCTAGGAGAAATGGGAGACCAATGCAGGCAGCACTACATATGATTAACTCAGAAAAGCAGGCTTTTTGATCTTCAGAAGAAACAGACTGTCACCATGTGCTAAACAGCTTGTCATATGTGCCATCAATTCAGCTACATTTCAAAAGTGCCATCAATTCAGCCACATCTCAGACTTCTAGAAGGAGGGCTGCAAACATGACAGTGCTGTGACACCAATATTGAGTGAACTTTGTTGGTACCACCAATAAATTTTACCACCAATACCCTTAATGAAAAGCAGCAGCTCCTGAGTTGCAGGTGGTCAGAGTGGACTGTAAGGGTCTTTTCTGGTTTTAAAATTTACACAAACAATGAACCAAATTATTGAAGCCTACTGTTGTGCTTACTACAGCATTCATAATGTGCTCCTTTGTTCCCTGCCTTGGAGCAGTGAGGGAGAAGGGGACTGTCACCCTAAATAACAGTAGGCAGACAGCAGAGCTGAACTGATCTTCTCCCTCCAGGCAGGAGTAAAGGCCAAATCATGATGAGCAGAGGGAATGTCAAAAAACTTATTATCTGCCCCCTAAAGGAAGACTTAAGGGTTTTATTCAATTATTTTATCAGAAATCTTAATAACAATTGGCCAAGAAGAACATCCAATGTTTTGAGATAACACAAATCAATATGCCGAGAAGCACAACAGTGCTGCTGTATGTTTAACTGATCACTGGTTTTAACTGAACATTCCAGCAAACAGTACCCAATACTTTATCTTAGCATACAGCCGGTATTTCAGTAGAAGGCTACCTAGAACACTACTCATTTTACAGGCATTCCATGTCTTTTTCACTGAGGTTTGAATAAAAATATCAAAGCATAACTAAGTACAGAAAACCTAGCCATTTTTTTTACCCATGTAAATATTACATACAATATCTGCAAGTCACTCCTGGTTCTTTTAAACCAGGAATTCCATTAACATCAATTACCACCATTGGCCTGGTAGAGTTAGCCTTCAAAGAGAAAAAAAAAAAAAAAAACACGTAAACAAAACCAACACGTACCAAATCGCACATTTTCATTTTAATGAGGAAAGAAAATAACCTGCTGTATGCTTTATACAAACTTCCCAGGAGAAAAAAGGTTGTCTTTGATGCTGGTAAAGTTGTATTGCAATTGAAAGAATGACTAGTCATGTGTTCTCTGTACTCCCAAATGTCAGAACTCACAGGTCACCAATACAATGGAAAAGTCTACTTACGGTCATTACACTGGCTCCCAGAATATGAAGTCATGGAGCAATCACATGTGAAGCCTTCCCATTGCTGATTACAGATGCCCTGATTTGCACAGGAATCTTCCTGGCAGGTAGTGCTTGGTCCTGGAGAAAGGATGACAAGAAAAGGGTGAAATAAAGGTGAGAGAATCACTTTGGCCAGGCCCACAAAAGTTTTGATAATCACTACCATTACCATCAGGATCCTCATGCAGAAGAGAAAAAGCACTAACCAAACACTGTTCATTCCTGGACATGCAAGAAAATCAGGAAAGAAGAGCACAAAGACAACTGCACACTTCACAACAAAACAGCAATCTGTAACACAGCGAAGGAAGGAAGAGGGAAGAGGAACATATTCCCTCTTGCACAGATTTAAGTCACATGTTCCAAGTTTGCTCAAAGAAGTTTACAGTAAAATATGGTGTGATGAAAGGATAACAAACATGGCCAGGTTGTCCTGCTTCCCTAGAAGTTTGATTCTCTGGTGGAAATGAAGGCTAAGAAATGGGCCCACAAACAATGCTTCATCCCATCCAAAGAACCCCAATACGTGGAGTCAAACTGGAGTTTTGAAGCCTCAGTTGGCCACAGCTTTGCTTTATAGCTCTGAACAGTCCTATTACATAGGTTTCTCTGGAAACATGTCCAAAAAGTCCTCAGAAGGGCATGACATTAGTCCACAACACTTCTCTATTTTGGAGTGGTTTGATGCCTTTGGGGGAAGCAGAGAAGGAAGCAGCCACTACTAACAGAACAGCCTTTCACTGTTCTGTGATTTGCAGCTAACAGTTGCTATCCTAGACAGATAAACATTTCAAAGGCAAAATCCAAGCAATAGGCAAAAAAGTGATCTTCATAACAGAGGGAATCTGAATGACAGCTAGTATGTCTTCAACAAGGAGCACAGGTGTGAAGCTGCAAGTCATAGATTATAACATGAGTTTAGAAGTTACTTCCTGGAAAAGTGTTTTATCTTCAGCATTCTAGATAAAGGTATGGCCCTCCTGTTGTGCAGTACTTCAAATAAAATGTACAAATACATTTGACATACTTACTATTCTGTATCCTGCACATGTTGGAAAAGAAGAAGAAATGAAATAAAGCATACAGAAGAGGATCAACTGGCTGGGCTGCCTGAGATCAGTTTATTAGCCACTTCCAGTCTAGGACAAAGAAACCACTGTTCAACCCATCCCAACATCTTTCATCACAGTCTTTGTTAGCAACAGCAACTCCATGAGGCTTATCCTACTCTTCACTCTTATATCTTCACCACATCAGCACCACCATCTGTATTATACAGATGAGACAGGACAGACCAAAATGGAGACCAAAATTTCAAATATCTTTAGCTAACATGAAACCCTTCAACCTCCATCTGACAACATCCATAATGATTTCACTGAAGTATTCAGTATTTCTTTGGTATTCAGATTATGCACCTGGGCACTTCCATATTTACAAGCCTTTGTAGAACCCACATCTAACTGGAAGCCTCATGTCAGAATATGATCCTCCTACAGTTTAAAGACCAAGCCAGGAAGGGACTTATAACTTTTGTGCAAGGTTCCTGCTCTTCCCACTAGATCCCCTTTCCCCACTGCAGGAACAGAATAAGTGAACTTCAGTAGCTTTGTAGCTATCTGTGTTTCTTTGCAGGATATCTCTCCTGCAATGAGAAGGAATGTGTGAATCAGTAGGCACAGTTTCACTTAATGTTAACAAAGACCTGAGCTTCTCCCAAAATTTATTAAACTATTAAAAAAAAACACACCTACAAAACCCCAAACCTCTAGGTAGAAGCATAAGTGTGGACAACAAAAGAAAACAACAAAATCTCTGAAAGAAACTTCACCTACTGAAAAGAGGTGGTGGCAGCAGCCACAGCAAGAAAACTCCTTGTTGCCATACTGAAGGAAAGTTGAGCAGCATTTTTCAACACTTTTCTCCTCCCTTCCTCCCTTCCTCCCCTCTTCTTTCCACCCACCTGACTCTCATTTGCAGCCCTGTAAACCCCAGTGGTTTCAGAGGCACAGTGTGAAGTTAAGAGATCACTTCTAGGAGTACAACACAGCTGATAGACTTTCCAACCTGGGCTGGAAGGCACATGTACATACACACTTCCCTCCTGCCTTTACTTGTGTAAAAAATGGGTATAAATATATAGACATATATGAATCAGGTTGTGATCTGACACTTGCTTCAGACTTACTCTGTCCCAGCAAAAGAAGGGATGACATTTAACAATCTGAAATAGAATATTAATTGGCATTTTGACTAAAATGTCCAAGGGTAAGGAATTCTGAGGATTCCTTATCTAAGGAAGGATGAACTGATATCTCTTTCTGTACATCACTATCCCACCATCTAACCTCTAACCACAAATGTGAATAGCAATAGTCCTAAAGGTATAAACAAGCATGTTATATGCATATATTTAAAAATAAATCCAGAAAGGAACTGTGAATCCATGCAAACTTGATACAGTATCAACTGTAAATATCATTATACAGAAGCAGAGCAGAACAGCATTTTCAATTACAATGATTCTCCACTCTTCCTACACACTTTAATCAGTAACTGGACTTGACAATGGGCATATCCTTTGTCTAGGTGCCCCAAGAGAAAGAACTCTACTCAAGGAATAAGGCTGCATGTACTTGTGGCTTGACATGTTAATAGTGAGCAAGTCCAGAGAGCCAAAGTACTTGAAGTCATGGCCAGTATTACGGTTTCTGAATTGTATTTTACAGTAACCAACTGTGAATACGGGAACAACCTTTTCACAGCAGCCAGAGGGGAAAAAAAAAAGAAGAAAAATAAAAAACCCCAATAATGAGGAATTTTGAAAGTCTGACAATACCACAAGGCAGCTTGAACCCTGATATTACACCTTGGCTCACTCCTTACTGCTGTGGGCCATTTGCATCATAGAAGGACCTTCGTCTCAGAGAGTTCATTTACTCCTGATGCTTACAGTCTTTGCCTGATGTCATAATCCTCCATCTGTGGCAAGAGAATTTTGATCAGAGCAACTAATAGGGATGTCACAGGGGATTAGGATTTTGGATTAGGGAGCAAAGCAATAGAAGCACAGGAAGGCTTATAAAACATGAAGATTGTGTTACCACGCACATGCCCTTTAGTGCTAACACACAAGGAAAGAACATGACAAACAATTTATATATAAAGCAGTAGAATTGTTTCTAAATTACTGATGCCATCAGGGCTCAGGTCTACTTTTAATCTCATTCCTTTGACAACTCTTAAAGAAGTCAAAGTATTTAAAAGCAAAGTTTCAGAAGCAGTCTTCACATGATAATCTGAAATACCTCTGATTTTGTTGTCTGTTTGTAGCTGGGCTTGGTGCATTGCCTTCTTCATGCCACATGCACAGTGGAAAGGGAAATGAGTGGGCAGTAGGTATAGAATAAAAGTGGAAAAGTCCCCAGTGTAGAAAAGCATCCCTGATAGAAGGGTGACTTGCTGTGTCTCATCTTGTCCAGACTAGGCCTACCAACAGAGATGGCAAGGCAGAATTCTTCAACTATGTCCTTTTGATCTTATGTCTGCATGTCTAATTTTTATTGGAACAGTTCAGTAACTGAGGACTTGCAGGATCTGAGATTTGTTGCACCTTCCTCCCTGAGAAGGAGTCCAGTACCACACTTTTCTTCAAAGTTACCTATCCAGATGTATTGTTTGTTTATTTTACTACTAAGTATTTGAAGAAAATCACCTTAGAAGACTATAACAGCCAGATATCTTATCCATATTCTACTTGGACAAATTACTTCATATACCCTAAGTCTTTCCTACAATATCAGCTGTATGGTAGGTTTCTCTTTGCCCTGAAACTAAAAAAAAAAAAAATAACTCTGCTGCATGATGCTAAAACTGCCATGTAGCATCCCACAGATAGGTGTGCTTCACTGGCAAGAAAAGCCATTCCTTCTGTACTGTTTAAAAGCCCTTTGCAGAAAAAGCAACTTCAGGAATAAAAGATAATATTGTGTTTATTGTTCTTGCCAGTTACATGAGAAATCAGTTTCTTTATGCAGCAGCTACAGGATTATAACACAGCTGCCTCATGCTTTGATCACAAATAGCAATAAGCATGAAGATAAGCAAAGTGTTATTGGTCTCATACATAACACCTTCCTTCATACAGCAAAAATTCACTGCTATTGAAAGAAATCAACCATTTCTGTTAACATTATTTTCTCAGTAAGATGAAGATCTGCAACAGGCAAGGTTCAATGACAACATGGGCCCATTTTCATTCTCCATCTCCCTAAATGCTTTCATCTTTTTCCCTTGTATCTTCAAAGAGGTTAGAAAGCAATAGGAAACTAATACACAGAAGACATCTTTTCAGTCTTTGCAGAATAAGGTGCTTCTTTTCTCCCATAGTTCCTAAATTACAAACACCATCAAGCACTAATACATCTCTACCAGTCAGATGTTACCATCAATTTATAAATCTACAGTCTATTTCTGCCAGCACTCCTCTTTCATAACCAGAGGCAGTCAGCTTTTCTTAATTTAATGTGTAGTACCAGTTCAGCTCAGAGAGGCTGAACTTCCAAGACATCAGGTCTTGGAAACAATATGCACCAGGTAGAAAATAAACCTGTTCCAGGACTCACTCAGTGCAGGTTAAGTAAGAAAAACAGTTAATCCCATTAAGTTTTCCGATTTTAGAATAATTTGGAAAAAAATACTTTTTTCTGGGTAAAAAGTGAGAAAAATTGAGAATCTCAAGGAACTATCACTTCATGGGATGGACTGCCACTGTCAAATACATATTGGTGGTATGTCAGCATTTACTTTGCATGGTAAACTAAAGTATAGTGCATGATTCAGAAAGTGAGATCCTGTATTTTGAGTCACAGGTAGTAGAAAGCAGGACTATAACAGACTAACATAGCAAAGCAGAACCCAAAAACCAAAGAGATTTTCAAGGACTGCAAGGCCAGCTCTTCAAGCTCTCAGTTTCATATTTTGTTAAGAACTCATCATTCCTTTCATCACCTAAATAAGGTTAGACATCTGTCAGGTTCCAAATTTAAAGTTACTGATTGTCAGAAATAACTCAAAAG